CAACGGCGATGGGAGAAAGGCAAAATTTACCGTCGGGGTCAATCGGCGGAAACTCAGAATCGATCTTCGATGGTGGTGAAAGCTTCTTCTTGATAAGAGAGACATGAAAAACCGGGTGTACCCGTGCGCCTTCAGGTAATTCTAGTTTGTAAGCCACTGCTCCTACCTTTGCAATTATTTTAAATGGACCATAGTAGCGCGCTGTGAGTTTGATGTGCTTGCGTAGGGCTATAGAACTCTGTCTGAATGGTTGCAATTTGAGATATACCCAATCCCCAACCTGAAATTGTTTATCAACTCTATGTTTGTCAGCATTTTGCTTCATTCGGTTTTGGGCTTCTTGTAAATTCTTCCTGAGATCCTGCATCACATGCCTTCTCTGTGTAATAAAATCTGAAACTTCTGTGTTATCTGTGTGAATAAATGACTCCAAAGAGAAGTAGGAGGGTGCATAGCCATAGAGAGCTTCAAAAGGAGAACATTTTAGGCTAGTATGGTAGTTTGTGTTGTACCAGTATTCTGCAAGTGACAACCACCTAGCCCACTGCTTAGGGTTTTCAAAAACCATGCCCCGTAGGTAATTCTCAAGACATTGATTCAACCTTTCAGTTTGGCCATCTGATTGTGGATGATAGGCTGAGGTAAAATCTAGGCTAGTTCCCAACCATTTAACAACTCTTTCCAGAATGAACTTGTGAACACCTTGTCTTTATCTGATACAATACTCATAGGCAGCCCATGCAACTTATAAATTGAATCTAAGAAAAGCTTAGAGATAGAGATGGCAGTATAAGGATGGGACAATGGAATGAAATGCCCATATTTAGTGAACCTATCCACAACTACCAAAATGACATCCTTACCCATAGATTTGGGTAATCCCTCAATGAAATCCATGGAAATGTGACTCCATGCCTGTGAAGGGATTGGTAGAGGTTGTAGTAAACCCGGGTAACTTTCACTTTCAGCTTTAACCCTTGCACAAGTGTCACAGTTCTTTACCCAGTCTGTAACATCCTTCTTGAGACTCTGCCAATAAAAAACCCTCTTAATCCTCATGTATGTACCCTGTATTCCTGAATGGCCTCCTAGAGCAGAATTGTGCATTTCTGTGAGGATAAAGTTCCTTAGGGAACCATTGCTTCCAACAACTACCCTTCCCTGGTATCTCAAAATATCACCCACTAGTTCAAACTCCTGGTGTGATGTAGGATTTATCATTTTCTCCTCAATAATAGATTGGTAATAGGGGTCACTGGTATAGCTGTCTGCAACCTATTGTACCCAGCTTGGATTGACTGTGGTTACCCCAAAATAGCTTTCATCTACCCCACTCCTTGAAAGTGCATCAGCACCTCTGTTCTCAATACCCTTCTTATATTGGATCTCATAAGTAAAGCCTAACAACTTGGAGATCCATTTTGCTGGAAGGGAGATACCACCCTCTGATCTAACATGTGTTTCAGAGCCTGTTGGTTAGTTTTTATCACAAACTTGTAACCCAATAAATAGTGCCTCCATTTCTATATGGCCATAATGATGGCTAAGAACTCCCTTTCATATATAGGTAAACTTTGATTCTTTGGATTAAGAACCTTGCTCATGTAGGCAATGGGCCTGCCATTTTGCATCAGGATGGCCCCAACCCCTGTCCCACTTGCATCTGTTTCCAAGACAAAAGGTTTAGAGAAATCTGGTAAGGCTAGTACTGGTGCATTTACCATGGCTTCCTTGAGCCTCTGAAAGGCTGCATCTGCATCTGAATTCCACTTGAAACCACCTTTCTTCAGTAAATTTGTCAATGATTTACTGATGATCCCATAACCTTGTATGAATCTCCTATAGTACCCAGTCAGACCCAAAAATCCCCTGAGCTGCTTAATATTAGTAGGGGTAGGCCACTGAACCATTGCAGAAATTTTGCTAGGATCAGTAGATACTCCCTCTTTTGAGATAATGTGCCCCAAATAATCAACCTGCTGTTGGTGTTATATACTTAAGCTTTGCTTTAGTGGATATTACACTTGTTATTCCT